CCAACCAGTCAAACCCTACATGCGAGAAATAACTTGCATAACCTCTAGCCGATGTTTATAGCATCAGACGCCATGATTGGAACATGACAGAATCTTCTTAGTCTATTTGGCAGTAATTATCCATGCTAGCCAATTCAGTGAAGGAATTCGATTACTCTTCAAAGAATATTCAGAACACGCTGATGACTACAACCCTGCACATGTAGACATTCGCAACTCACTGCCAGAGCGTTCTACTGCATCTACCAAGAGAAATTACTAGTGTAAGAGGAATTAACCAAAACTTACTCCATTAAATTAATGAAATCCATCCAAATCAGCCACCAACGCACACCAGATTTAACCATTGAGAATCATGAGGCACTAGCGTTACCTGATCCATGTCAATCCGCTGAGGGTTTCCAAACCTTCCAACCTCACCAATAAAAGAGTAGCATACATGCTCACATCCAACATATACAGTCCCCATCAACTCGTGGGTGTTTGCACGAACTCCATAGCCGTCTACTACACTACAATGCATCAAAAATAAAATAAAATTTTTACACTTATCAAAAGCAACACCCTCGGGGTAACTAAATACTCAAAAGCTGCTTGCAGTTAATGATGTGTCAAAGTCCATCATGGAGCAGACGCCGAGAGAAGAACCACTGTAGAACCACAAAAACCTCAATCCGCAAAACAAGTAGCCGAAATGCAACCAAAAAATATCAATTAGTTATTGTTTGTGAACACTAATTATATGTCCCCGACTTTACCCTCTCTGATATGAATGTTCGATTAACTTTTTTGTGCAGAACTTCTCCGCCAACAACAACAATTTATAGCCGTCAAAATTCACCTGAATTTTCTGTTTCCTCAGTTTTGTTGGGGTATATTAGTTAATTTCAAATACAAGTTCATACTTGAGGAGTTTGGAATAGGGACTACTGAGGTTTAATCAAGGCTCATGTGTGTAGTATCAACTTGTGGAATGTTTATTTATTTATATCGAATGGCAGGCGTTTTGATGGTTATCATTAACCCTTTAGTTGACTTCAGGCTTCACAAAGGGGAAGGAAAATCACAGAGAAAAAAAGTCGAGAGGGGGGGGGCAGAAGAGTGTTTCAATGACGAAGGTAGAAAAAAGGTGAGATGAGTACCGTGAAAGTAGTCGAATAGGCATACAGTGGGGTGATGGTAGTTTGAAGTTAGAAGTCAACTTCCGGTTTATAGACTTTTAGCCGTATGAGTATACGTTGCCAAGATTGTACCACGTGGAGGTAAGTCTATCGCGCACCCCAACTTGTGGAATGTACAAATGCTATCATGACTGAACAGAGAAATCGCGTGCACACCCAGACAGACTCGAAGGTGCGGCCGTGCAACTGTCACGTAGGCAGCAATTGCGGCTGTGAATGTAGAGATCTCTCATCAGCCACCAATCAATAAGCCCCCCATTGTACTATAATGACTGTGCTCCGTGTCCTTAATACACACCCCAAGTCATTCTTCTGTCTTCTCTATAGCTTTACGGTAGTGTTGCTAACCCTGGCAGCCATTCCAAACTTGAGAAACATGCCAAGGAAATTATTGAGCATTAGTCGAAACTTATTAGTGTAGCAACCCACCACAAAATATGCCATTGTTTTAAAAAATGAATATATTTATATGTTGTAAAATTAGCACATAATCTAAATCCTTCTTTTTGTGGGTCTTTTAAAAGGCATTCTTAACTAGTGTAACTCAAATGGTTTTATAGCATACATTTAAAATTACGACTTGTTATCATTAAAACCCTCAATAACTTTTAAAATCTGTCACTCAGTGTGTTTTACTTTTCATTTATACGGGCTATCTATGGCCTGTTTGAATAAGGGGTGGTTGGCTTTATGGCTTTATATAAATATTCAATAGTCTTCCGACATTGAAATGTTTATTTACTAAAATGATGTAGGATTAATAAAAAATCCCTTTAGGACATTGAATATTTCCTTATGTTAAATTGAATGTAGTAAACCTTAATTTATTACTGGGGTTATCATTATATATTTTTTAATTTTTCTGAACCGATGTCCATAAAGTTGCCCCTGTAAATTGAGGCTCACAGTTTTACCATCTGGTGGTTGATTATTATCAATTGAATCGTTCCATTTTGCTCTAAACACGTTCAACGCTGTAGAGGGCTATATTGACTCAATTCCCTCAATCTTCGTATAATTTTAAAATATGATTTAATGCAATTTCACCTCATCTCTTCTATAATCTACGAAAGATTCCTTTTATCCTTTTATCCGTTCGTTCCGTCTATGGAGCATAAATTCTTAGCTCTCATAAGGAATGGTTTGTCAAGAAGGCATGTATTAACGCCAATAATCGATTCGAATAAGAAACAATGGTTTCTTTCTTTTCGCATTTCATACAAGTGTTTCAGCGATTCAGTCGTTTTTATGATTAACTTCCCAGCCAAGTCATCTGCGCACAGGTAAACGGCGGGCGGCTATAATGCAATCCTATTCATATCGCTTTTCATGCATTCAATGCATGCAGGGTTTTGCTTTGAAAGTTTAAATTTAATTGGTTAAGTTTCTATTTCAGGAATCAATAAGATTGTTAATGACAATTATTGGATTTGCTAAAGCTTTTCCTCCATAAACCAAACTGATTTTATGTTCCCTCTTATTTATGATCACTTTCAATTTGTACGAATCCCGCTGAGGCCTCGGAATTTATGCGCTGTCAGCCGCTCCTTATGCACCATCCATTTTTAGATCTACCAAATTAATATCCAGAGATGGGAGTTCAAATGGAATTGGAGATATAGAACAATTAACACAACAGCTGATCCGAAATATTATTCTACGTGGCAGATCTCCAGGATTAACCTTACCTGTGAATACAAGTTACTTTTGCTTCCTCCTAGGTTTGAGGAGAGTGAACTTGAAATGCCCCAACTATAAAGTTTATTGGTTCAAGTATTGGAATGATTTAAAGCGAGTAATTGATAACAGATTTAATCACAGTTACCCAGTATTGATTACAAATGTGATGACTCAATTAACTTATTGCCATGTATTTGTACTGTGTGTTGTACTCATGCACCTGAGATTCTGCTTTGTTGGTATGGTTATTGCTCTATTTTATCGGCAAGCTAACTTTCAAATTTCCTACTAGTTTAGAGGGCAATCACTCATCTATAAATAATATACATCTTAGCGGCTCATCAAGATTTATCTGATTCATCCAATCATACATGCGGCTTCTATTTCAATCCGTTATTGCTTAATCTATTGGTATCCCTGTTAGCTTACTTTGCAATTATATACGCCGATACAAGACTTTCTGTTGACTAATATAGTTGAAGCCTCAGTTATACCTTTCATGGATGCACATCATATAAGCCGAGTCTGATGTCAGTATCACTACGAGATTCTTTACTGTAACATGCAGAGGTTGGTTAATGGAATTGATTTAAGCTGATGAAATAGTTTTGTTTCAGTTTTGATTTTAATACGTTGAAGTATACAGATATAATTTACACTAATTATAAAGTTTTCTTATCTCAACCATGCTGAAGTAAAAGTGATTTTTCTTTATTTACTTTAGTTATTTGAGGCTTGAGTACAAAAGAGAAAAATTTACAAACGAATTTTTATCTAAAATCTTTAAACGGAGTGAAATATATGAAAACTCAAGCCATTGCCATTATATATATATATATATATATATATATATATATATATATATTCCGTTATATATATATATATATATATATATATATATATATATATGGAAATTTAATAATGTTTTGTAGTGTAAAATATTTTTTTTAGAACTCGAAGTCACTTAATAAAAAGATATCATTAGATTCTGCACTTAAACATGATATGTGAAAAGATCACTAGATAATTGACATAATTTATTTAACAATGCTAGATGAATATAAAGTTAATATATGTTAAAACAATGAGAAATTCAAATTCTTCTTTAAAGATATATAAAATATACCTAACTTTCTTCATTACTGATCAATTTTGAATTCTCTTTAAAGGCAACCTAAAAGATGAATTAAGAAAAGGATGAAAAATTACTGCAGAATCGTTCTCCATTAAAAGGTCCTGCAGAGTGGGTTCTCTTACGAAAACATCTTGCATGTCAATCCCACGAAAAATCACAAAGTCAAAAACTTGAGAAGAAATTTGATCTCCATTGGAATTATTGATAACACGAACTAACAAATAAAGTTATGGAAAAGCTGGACACCTTTTGAGAGAGTTACTGTATTATGCTTGGTGTCAATCGAATGTAGTTTCCCCACATATCCAAGTCCTGACCTTGGTATAATATGTAAGATTTTATTTTCAAAGTAACTGCACATGTTGTATACGCGATATCAGATAACGGGATCAATTATCGCGCTCTATAATGTTTTCCTTAACCGAATAAAACGAAATAATCATCCAAAACGTCTTGTGTAAAATAATGTCTTAAAATATTAGATATCATAAGTCAGTGTTATATCACTTATTAAGTCTTTTAATCTATGTGCAGATATGTAATTGTTATATATATTGGTAATCTTCGATAATCCGTTAACATAAAGTTACCATAAATACACGTAATTAATCTAAGATCAAATAATATAATAATATTTGAATGATATCTCAATAACTTGTCTTGCATATAGTTTGTTAAGTGTTAAGATTAGGATAATTTTCTCAGTATTTAAAGAATATTGAACCCAAACCAAAATTTAGGGAATATGTTAATGGCCTACCGATTTAAGACGACAGAAAAAGGCAAAGTTAATTATTCAAAATTTTGGCAAAATATTCAAAAGACCGAATTAGTAATAAAATATTTATATAATATTTATAACGATTAGGCTTGTTTATGACAAAATTCCTTATTTTGATTTTCGACATTTTATGTGTTTATAATTTGGCTTTATTAGAAGGTCATGGATCAGCTGTTACATTATAATCTGATAGGTATTCACAAATAGGCTTTTCAATTCGAAGATGGGTAATTGCTTAAGGAGCTTCTGTCCAAGACACCGAACTTCTGAGAATGATCGGCATAGCAGTTGGCACACATCCTCTTACCAACCTCAAGCGCGACATGTAGTGTGTTGTTTCATTATTTATGTTTTTTTTCTTGCTGATTTCTGTTGGCGAACGAAAAATCTGTTACTGCTTCACATTGCTTAAAATTTCTTTTATCTATCTAAATTCTTAATGTGTTCTTGAAAACATGATATATATTCATCAACTTAATTTATTCTCCTTTCTTTAATTCCTTTTAAGATTAAATTTTAACGTATATAAAAGTGATGAATAAGAAATTTGGATTACGTTATCTTATTAAAACGTGTAGCTATCGTATCTAACTTTGGAGGCTAATTTATTTTACTTATTTTCAGGATAATGATCCAATTTTACACCCCGCCCCCGGTTTGTCTGTTCCTTACTCCCAGTTGACTGAAGAACAGCAAGTTGCTATTGCAACTCGAATGGCTCTTATCGCAACCCTACCTATCCACATTTTTGATGAAACAGAGCATGAGAAGGTGTCAGAGTAAGTTGAAACTTTACTCCAATATTTTAATTTCCTTTTTAGTTCACTCATTTATTGACTAGTATTCATGATTTTTAAATCTTTTTTTTCCTAAAATTTTGGACATTTCCATTTACCGAATTATTTTATTTTTATGTTAGCTAACCTTCTTCTGCTTATATCATCTCGTTGAATAGAATAGATTTCAGTTAACTATTTTGCATATTACATAAGGCTATGATAAAGATAGATAGTGCCTCATTTTTTATTATAGTATGAAATTGAAGTGAGACATCGAATGGTCATTCCATAGAAATTCTCTAACGTAAATTGTTTTTTACATGTTTTTTTATATTCAATTCTATATAATTCGTTAGTTTAAAGTGTAGTTTATCTGGGAATTCATATTACCATTTCATTTGAGAAGAAAACTTTTGAGCGTTACATTTTTTATTCAAATATTTGAACTGAGTTTAGAGGTTTGTTGTCTTTTTGGGAAATAGCGGGAGAAGCTTGAAGATTTTTGATCTCAAGTGTTAAATTTTTTTTGTTTTTGTTTTTTTGGTTTGTCCTTAAGACTTGTTTACATTGTGACATTTAGGAGAGAAGCCTTTAATTGCAGTTTGATTGCAAAAATCAATTAGTGACATCCCTGAATTTCAAAGTACGCTAACATTTTTTGCGTCCTCCAAACCTTTGATTCGTTACAATTAAATTACTTTCTCACAAAAGCTCCCCATAATTTGTATACGGCCACAAGTGATGTGAGAGCGGGCTAGATAACTTGAATGATTAATGAATAAATCGATTTTTCTATTGGTTATAAAACTAATTGGGAGGAATGTTCTCTGTTTGAAAACAGTTGTCTACGGTTTAAGACTTTCTCATTCGACTTAATTGACTGAGAGCTCCTGTCTGTATATTTTGCCTCTTTGCTGTCAGATGAGCTTCGTTTAAACTTGCGGACGAAATTGGGGGGAGGGGGGTTTGTCGCATTTATCTTTCCTCGTTTACGTATTAGTACGGTTCGTTGGATGCTCACTTATTAGAAATACCAAATCTATGACCTTTTGCGCACATAGGTAACTGTGTTTTTTGTATTTGCTAACGGAATGTGGTGGCGTGAAGTGAAGTTAAAATCGAAGTTTATCGATTCGAGTTCCACTCGGGACGACTCAGTGGCTCTTGAGAATATCAAGGCCCGCGGTAACGTGTTCGTCCTCGTCTGTGCTTATTCAGTCAATGTAGTGACCAAACGAACTAATTAATATGTTACTATCGGGATGCATGCTTATCATTAAGTCTCCTATTAGTGCAAAATTTGTATTGTTTTAGTTTTTGTACAATTGTCTTTTGGTGATTATGATGTTTCTTATCATTCTTCTGATTTGTGGCTGGTTCTGCACTAATAATCACTTTGGTACGCATTAATAATCCTCTTTCTAGACTAACTAGCTGGAGAGTTTTCTAACACAGTTCCCATGAAGTGAATTGTGTGTATTGTATGCATGGCGAGTTGCAAATCATGATCAGTAGTGAAATTTATTTATTTTGGGAGAATACTAATCCCTGGTTAGCTGGTAAGCCTCCTACACGCCCAACCCAATTGCTCACATCAATATCGATAACACGACTGCACTTTCAAGTATATTTGACCTTGAGGGAGATTCCTTTGGCCAGTCTTGATAGTATGCTTGTGAGCTCTACAAATTACCAATTTCGAACTTTGGTCTAATTTGCTATTTCCCCTTAAAGAATAGTTTCGTATTGGTTTTGTCCTTTCGTTTACACCCTCAACGCAAATAGTGTTGACTTAGGAAACATGGATACAAAGTGCGGAGAACATAAACCCATTTTCATTTTAGCACCGTCTATCAGGCAAGAAAATAAGAATTTTGGTTAAACGGTCAATTTGATCATCTTTTCATGCTGATATAAGCTTGTAACATGTAGCTGCGGGTAGGATGTAGTTTTCCGATATTAATTTCTCGGGCTGTGTAGGTGGATATGAATTCATTGGAAATAACCGCAAATTTGGGCTTATTCGAGTTTGAGTGCCTCTTTCAATTCGTGGGCCTATATTGTGGATTCGAGCCATTTATTCAACTGTGGCACCAATAGCAGTTGAGAAAATTGGAGAATAATCATTGCATACATTCATTCATAATTCATCAAATCGAATGTCATTGAGTCCTGTTCTCGACTCTCGCTTTCGCCTGCTCATTGTTCTTTCTGTTCGCATCCTGGTTTTTACCCCCCCCCCCTACCCCCTCTAAATGTAATCGAATTTTGCACCTATCAGAATAGCTGCTTTTGACAACCACCAATTGACTAAAACGTGACGTCATGGTCTGTCACCCTGGGTCTTACTCTCAGCAAATGTTTCCATTGCAATTGTATTGTTTGTTTATTTTTCTAGTCTCTCATGCTTTTTTCCGATATAATTCTAATTTTTAAATCTTTCGGGAAGTACTGAACTTTCTATATACATATATATATTAGTCATTACATGGGCGTGTTAATTCTAAATGCCATTTTTACCCCTTTAGTAGGCCAACAGTTTGAGATGACACTCAACTAGGCGGTGGTTTAGGTCAATGCCCTTCATTATTTTCCATAAGAAATATGGTTGACACGGGGATCTCTTTCCTTTGAAAATGTTTGTATTTGGTCTCATTATCGATGCTAGTGGAATTCTCCGTGATCTACTGGGAAATTCCTAGAAATTTCTCTGGACGCTTGACTTCTATCTGCCAATCCTTTATCTCCTCTTTCTATTAGCTCATTTATGTGTGTTATGACATTGACATTTAGGCAATTTCTCAGTTTCATTCTCTTTGGCCTAACCATTATGCAATTTGAGTTTTCATGCTAATTGATGTTGCCTATTCCTCGTGTTTAGTGGAGGGTATTGTGCTCAGAGAACATTGAGCAGTGATGGCAAATGTGAATCATTATGGTAAAAGCGGTTACCTTTTACGGATTAGACAGGTTCCAGTCATCACCCATTCTCGTTAGCTTCACACATACTAATGTGGGTGGATTTAATCTTTTAAGAGAAGCGATGTGTCTATAAGGACCTTTAGCACACCGGAATATTGCAATCAAATGCTATTCTGTACAATTTGTTCCGTCTGACATTTCAATGGGTCATGTTCTTGGCAAATCCTAATGTTTAAATATGAACCAAACTTCCCCTAGAATTTTGTCTCTCTTCAAAATAATGTTGAATCTCACTGATGTGGTGAGTTAAGTAAGCATACGATTTGAGAGCTTAATTAGGCGAAATCATGTGTGTGTATGCAAAAGGATACTGTTTTATTGGACAAATTGCAATGATTGGGTCGCATGGAATATCTCACAGCGAAGGTGATCACAACAAGTTTCCTTTTTTTCCAGTAACTGGGACTCAAAGTTGAATGGGCGAATGCCCTTTTAACTTCATAAAGCTTCCCAAGTGTAGACTCGACTTAATGTTTTTCAAATGCAATTGAGATCAAAGTTTGCGCGAATAAAGGTCCATATAAAACAAATAACATTCTGCATTGATTAAAGACGAACTCTAGTAGGTTTGACTTAACGAAGAGACATGGAGTGAGTCAAATCGCATTGTCTTAAATCGATATTTATCTTACTCACTGGACGACATACAGACCAGCAAAAATCGATATATGGGGGGGGGGCGGGTTTATCAAAATGTTCTCTTTGAGAAAGAGTCAGATTGTAGGCTCGCATTAAAATTCAGTGCCATGTCTGGACAATTATTAGGAAGACGGGCTTCGCTATCGAGAATGGGGCTATTACCAAATTTCAGGTATTCTTTTACCGACTCGTTGGCTCTAGATGACTTATGGTCTAAAATGTCACTCTGACTTAGTCCACTTCTCTGTTTTTTTGGCTGTGAAAGTGCACTTCTCATAGTGGTGTTTGTTTATGCCCTTCTTTGTTCGTACTGACTCTATGTAAAAAATCCAAATTTGGCTCCATTCCAGCCTAGAAGATTGCTTATCCAATAGCATCAGGTTGATGGTACTGAATTCTCAAAAATATGATTTATTAGACTAACAAATGGTCCAAATTGGATTGAGTCAAACGCCATATTGAGGAGTAATTTATAAACGCAATAAAGCATCATCAAAACCTCCAGGGGTACCTTTGTAATTATGGCTAATTGTTCTGATTTGCTACTGCGTTTGCCCTCCCTAGAATGGCCAAATGAATTTCCTTTTCATTCAATCGGTTCCATGCTAATCTATGTGTACAAGAGATCAAGAGGCTAAATCATGTCCTCGTTTTTCCCATCTTCGGATTACCATCTATGTGGAAGTCTGATCCTACTAGGTGTGGCAATACTCTAATCTTGTGGATGCTATTTACATGCTCAATTTATCAAATGAAAGCGTTTGATACTTGTTTACACGCTCTGTCGAGATTGTTTTCCCAGGCAAATTATTTGTTGCAACTTTCTCATTTTTAATTTTTTTGCCAGATTCCCATCAAAAATGGTGCAAAATCTATTATCTAACGCCTATGTATAATGGTGCTGGTGATTGTTTTTTTCTTCATGAAAAATCGATAATGAGTTGTTGCGTCTTTGCGTCGTGAGAAATATTATTTTAATTTGTTTATCGATCTCCCTACCACTCTGCTCCGTCAATGACCTATTTTTACTCTAATGATTTGTGTATCGATTTTGCAGCTGCCTACTTACCTATTCGTTCCATTAAATCAACTCCCGTCTTCTGCCAGCTGGTTTTCTTTTAGGTTAGTGCCCACAGAAAGGCTTCATTGCAACTCTCTTTTGGTAAAAGTTAAGCGGAAGAATAACGTGGGATGGCGTTATAGTCTATGGTCTTTGATTTCTTGATAATTTGCCCCCTGTTGTCGTTCATTACGGCAATATCGACTGCCTACAATGTCCCATCAGGTCAATTTAATGACACATTTACTTAATTGCTGATTCACTTTGTACCTCTTGGAAAAAGCTGCTCCAAAATGCTCCTCTATGTCTGTGCCTGCCGTAGTGCCATTACTTCAGCCCTCTTTGTGCATAACTTCTGATACTGACGTTAGGGAAATGATCTCTCTCTCAATCGGTTTGCCTTGATATCTTCAGTAAGAAAGGCTCATCGTAGCATTTCAGTCTCTCTTCGCTGCAAACGATCTCAAATTCATGTAATTTTTGCATCTTCCAGTCATATCTTATTGTCTTCTATGAACCATTATTCGAGAGGCAATCTTCTTCAGAACTTGGGCAGATGAATGTCATTACGGGCCTCTCCTATGAGACTCTCATTCTATAATCTTAGTTGGTTACCTAATCAGCATGGTTATTACACTTTAATACACGGAGAATCAAATCCATAGCACTTGAAGCTACTGACTTCCATATTTGCCGGTTGCTGTAGGCTCTCATTCCTGTAGATTTTTTAACTATCTTTAGTGCATATAGGTTTTTATTGAAAATAGTCTTTTTTGCTTTATTAATAACTTGAATTTATAATTTATGGAAGTGTTTGATACTCATGCATTGTGGTTATTCCATCAATCCAATAGCTCAAATTTAGAGGGAAAAATGCCTTCACCATACTACTGCCCCGAGTCTCAAATTGATTGTCTAGTAACCCATTACTTGAAGCACTTGTGTGCTCGCATCCCTCAAAGCAGACGTGGATAATTGATAACCAAGAACACAAGAGTTGAAGTTTTGATAGATTTTGTTCAGGTGCAATACAAATATTATAGTTGGCTTCATTGCTGTCCACATCATACGATTCTTCACCTTAATATTCCTCAGTAAGAGATGCACATTCGATATCTATAGTGCCGGGTGCGCGATAGACTTACCTCCACGTGGTGCACCCTGGACAACGTATACTCATACGCCAACAAGTTTATAAACCGGCAGTTGACTTTCTGTGTCTCTTTCCGCCCTAATCCCAGTGTTTACTTACTTGGGTGATTATTATTTCCCTTTCTCCATAAAACAAGCCAATCAAATAAAGATGGCAATTTCCTCTATTTGATTCAAATCGACCAGATAGTTATTATTCTTGCGAGAATAGAGCAGTCGCTTACTAATCACGTCTTTGTCATTTCTACCAATCAGGTGTGTGATCTGTATGATTGACTACGTGCCGGGTGACGAGTTGCGAAAGATGCCCATGTGTACACACTTCTTCCATCGAGCCTGTATCGATGATTGGTTGACTCGATCTCTGACCTGCCCTTCTTGCCTTCAAGAAATTCCCATTCCTTCCAATGTACCTCTGGCAACAACTGCAGCTGCAACCAGCCCCGTTTCAGATATCAGAACTACGAGATGCATTGAACTAGCGGGTCAATCGGTCAGTCCCCCCTCAATTCTCGATATTAGAGACGAGGTTTTACGAATTAAGATGAGATCTAGGGTGGGTATCGTCTTTGCCTTCCTACGTTTGTTCAAGTAGTGGCTATGTCAATGGCTATGCGTTTTTTGCGGCTTTGAAAGCGGCTATGCCAAGTGGACGCCACGTGAATAGCTGTTTAAGTAGTATCGTACCAAATGGTCGATGGTCGCTCTGGCTAGAAGAAATAGCAGTAAATATGCATACATTAGTGGCATTAGCCTCCGGAATCATTTGCTAACTGATGATCCGACATCCCTGGCCGTTCACTTGAGTGAAGCTCATTTTTAGGCCTTAATCTTTGCCTAGATTTGTGATAATTTTCCAACTACCTGATGGTAAATTGAATTGCTATTTTTGCCTTTTAACACTTGATTAAAGCGCCTGAATAATGAAGGCAAAAAGACTCACAAGTTCAATGACATAAGTCGATGGGAGAGGGGTCAGCGGTAAGGTGATATTAAAGTCAGGATCGTGATACTTTGCTTCATTTTTATTCTGGAATTTTTGAGTTGTATGTGATTCCTGGAGGAGTCTTAGTGTTCAAACACCATGAATTGTCTCTCGGATCCGCGTTTGAGATATTGTCCATGGCAATGTCGCGCCGGTTTACTGACAGCAACTGGTGGTTGAGATAAGTAACGGTTTCGAACACTGCTATGTCTACTAGAGTTCGGTTGAAGTTGAGTCTGTTATCAAAACTAAATATTTGAACTATTTCAAAGAGGATTTATCTATTTCAAAAGGAACCGAGATCCATAGCATTCGTCTTTCATTTGCAGGGTTAGAAAAGTAATAATTACATATGTTTGGCGGTAGTAGTATTTGGTCAACCCCTGCTACACCCCGAGTTAAGGTCAAAAATGCCTGTTAGCCAACCTTTGCGTCCACAACAGTGGCAATTTTTGACCTCCACATTCCGGCCAGTTCTTAGCCTACTAGGACTATCATGTATTCAATGGACATTGTCGACAGAAATATCAATCGCCTTACCATTTGCTTCAAGAACCCGGTTAAACTGGACCAAATGAAAGCCGTTTTTGAGACCCCTCACAGGGACAGTGCAAAATCATCTACTCGTTCCGGGTTTCGGGACCGCAGCTAAATCGAGTCTGTAATAGAGACATTAAAAGTGGATACTCTGATTTAATCCCTTTGACCATAGTGCAATTTCCTGTAATGCATTTAATGCTGTCTTGTTTATCCCTAACGCCATATGTATGCATCGGCGTATGCAACCCGAGAAATTAAACTAAATACCATACTAAAATGGCGCTCTCTCCAACATGAAGTTGGTACATCTTCGTTTGCGCATGACATGTGAATTCGAGGCTTACTAATTATGTTGATATATTTGTGTTAATTAGAGGCTTTTAGCTTGACTACCACCTGCGCTTCTTTGACTGGACTGAAGATTGGTTAAGCAGCCTATTGAGGCTGTTCTGATCTCTACGTGGTAATTTACGGTATTCGATGTAGGTCATTTATTGAACAGTATTTTGTTTTCAAGGTCATAACATTCGGCTAAGAGCTATTACGTGACACAAAGAAGTTAATCAATAAAATATGGTTGCCTTAAGCATCTCTAAAGACGTCAGAATGTGTTATGGCCACATTAAGAACCTTCCTATCTCATTGTGCACGGAATTGGACTAGAGTAATGAGGTTATTTTATGCACGGCAATGTGATGCATTGGTTCTCGTACAGGGTAAACTTATGAGTCGTTGGTGCAGCAAACACAGCTATGGCAGCCTAGTTATTAATCACTCAAAGTTTACTCTTGCGTAGGTGTTGGCGTTAACTTCGAAGGCCGTTATTGAAAGCAACTGTTTACCTTATTGAGAGAATAGCGACTGAGGTGCCGAATGTTCCTCTGAGACTCAGTATTTACCTTTCCGCCAAGTTAACATTTGACGCTCGTTTGCGCCCGTTCATTGGTTTTTATATTGACAAACTCGCTGACCGCTTCTGTTCACTATGAGGGGTAATGGAATGCGGGTTTCTGAACTACCTCCTCTTTATCCAAGTTAGCTTGAAACATATAAAATAGAAGGTTTTATCTGTACTGTGTCACCAAAGATCATTTGAGGTAGCGTAGGTAAATTTGGTCCATGGGAATCGAGACTGCTATATATTCGAAAGCAAATATGCTTTGACATTTTGCGAGTTTCCTTTCTAAAAAAGCCGAGTTGAATACGCATCGTCACGATCACATTTGTGCTTAATGAGACTTAAAATAATTGGTTATTTGGCACTGAAAGTCATTTTCAATTGTTTTTTTTCTTGAAGAACAGTGATTCCATCGTAAGGATCGAGAGCATTGGCTTTTTTACTCCTTTGCTGAATATGGCATCGATTTTATTACTGGTTTTTGCTGTCCTTGATTTTATGTTGCCTTGAACAATCAATTGAGCCTTCTCTTCACGTGTTAGTGACCCATTCATAAGGTGAATGATCTCGCAGAGAGAGAGAGAGAAAGTTGTTGTTACAGGGCATTTAATGGTTTGGTTTCATGCCTATTCAAAAGGAAGAGGATGAAGTTGAAATGTTTTGGCCTAATTCTAATTGGCCAATGAAAATTTCACAGGAACCAATGGCCATTCATTGTGAAATACTTCTCCACTCTTTGATATTCTGACTATATCTCGTAACATTTTTTAGCATACCTAGGTGGGGGGGGGGGGGGGGGGGGGAAGAGAAGAGAGGGATAAATAGTTAGAGGTTAATAAGAATTCAATGAACCAGAAGTCGTTACTTGAGCTTGAACCCGCTACAAATAATGGGGCACGAGAAGCGTCAAGACCAGTGATTCGTGAAGTGAATTCACTTGCAAGACTATCAGCAACCGCCTACAGTGTGGGTGTCACAAACGTAGAGTAAAGCAAATTTGCTTAGCTATAGCCCATCCAGCTAGAACGATTCGTGCAACTTCAGTACTTGCTATTTTTGACGTCACGTGTTTTGCTCCTTTTACAGCAACAGCAGATGTCACAATTAATCCCTGAGGAGGAGGAGGAGGGGGAGTCACAAGAGCCACCGCAAGGCTCTTCCAGTACTGCGCATCCTCTCGGTGATGGTGATCTGAACTCAACTGAATTGAACTGAACTAGAAAGTATCCCTTTGTGCATTAGTTAAATTTTATTTCAGTAGACAATTGACTTTCCTACCCTTGTGCATAGCTTTCTTATCCAGATCGCGTTGTTGTTGATGATGATGATGATGACGATGCATTACATGCTTGTTTGCTGATGTACAAACCTGTAAATTCTTCTGTTCTCCCCCCC